TACCCACATTAATTTTTCATATATTTTATATATTTATATATTTTACAAATACTATATATATATATAAAAAATATAAAAAATTTGATGTGGATACTCAAATGAAAGGTCTCGATGAGTGTAATGTCGTGGTGAGCTTATATTTTTAAAAATTTCAATAGTTCACAAGATACAAAGTCATTTCTTAATTACGTTAAATTGCACTGTACTTTCTTAACTATTGACATTTTTAAAGATTAAGTTCGTCCTGATGTTACACTCATTGAGAGCTTTCATTTAAGTACCCACATGCATTTTTGAAATATTTTTCATATATACATATATGTAATATATATAAATATATGAAAAATTGATGTGGGTACTCAAACGAAAGGTCTTGATGAGTGTAACATCGGGATGAGCTTATATCTTTAAAAATGTCAATAGTTCACAAAATACCAGGTCGTTTCTTAATTATGTATCTAGAGATAGAGCATTTCTGAATGCAGCCTAAATACTTATTATAATAAATTGACGATTGATGAGAATCATATGAAACCTTGAATAGGCACAAATTCAAGTCAAGACCTTTGCAATGACACTAAATTTCACTATAGTGAATTTTTTTTATAAAAAAATCGATTTTATCATATGACTATCCAGGACAAAAAATTGTTCTTATTCTCTTAACAATATAGATTAAATTATGATAAAATAAATTTCTTATTTAGAAATTAAAAAAAAATTACTAGTACCAATTTTTTAAAATATATTTTTTATAATAATTGATTGATTATAAAAATTTAAAAAAACTGTCAGATATTTGCTAATTTTAGTATCATGTAAAAATTTTATTTAAATTAAAAAGTTTTTATTAAAGAACTTTTTTTATTAGATTAAATATGATGAATTTTATTGAAATTTTCATACTGATTTTGTCCCAGTCTTGAGTATAAAAAAAATGAATGGTTTTTTTGAAAAACAAAAAATAAACTAAGTAGTTTAATTATTTAAAATAGTTAAAAAAAAATTAAACTTACATTTGTTTTTAATTGTTGACTCAAATTATTTTTATAATGAGCTGCCAAAATAATACTTGCCGCATCCCGCCAGTTCTTCATAATTATTTAATTACAAAATATACTTCCACACCATTAAAAATTTCGCTTTATAAAATTGTAGGTTAAGATAACGGCAAAGATAAAAACGCGAAATCTACTTAAAAAACCAAACAAGATTTTCAAAAAAAATTCAAATAAAACAGAATAAAACTTTCAATATTTAAATATCTTTAATAAAATATTTACAATATAAACAAATATTAAATTTGTATTTCGAATAAAAATGGTTGCTATTAAAATATTAAAAACTATTTTTTGGTTTTATCAGAGCCAGTAGCAGCAAGTAATAATTCGTATAGTTGGTAAATTTGTTCATCGCGTAATTTTTCTAAATCATTAACTTCTAAGCTTTTACCCAGCGGCTTCGCGGTAATTGGACCGCGTAAGCCCAGCTGTTTTGCTATCGTTATAGCATACTCCTAAAAAAAAAGTATATTCATTATTAAACTATTGAATTATAATGAAAAAAAAAAAAATTAATTACACGATTATTATATAATAAATACTGTAATCAATAAATATAATTATAATTACCGTCCACTCATTCATAAAAACGTAAGATTCTGCTTCATTGCAATTTTTATGTCTTCGAAATTCGTCACGGACATAAGGAGTACCAAGTGATTGCATTTCACTCGGCAAACCACGGTGCAATTTTAATATTGTCTTGTACAGAGTTCTTACTCGTTGGACATGCGTTAATGTCATGATATTTTGTGTCAATAAATAAATAATAATTAAAAAAAAAAATCAAAATACTGATTAATTATTCCTGACAGTAAATAGTCATTTAAATTTATTTTCTTTTAAAGATAATTCACAAAAACTGTTTTTTTATATAATTTTACGTAATCAAAAATATTAATTTTAAATTTAAATATTCACTATTTTTTTTCTGGGAAATTATTTATTATTGTACGAATTTTTTGAACGTGTAGTAGCTAGGTTAGGATCAATGTTTTTGTCCTATATATAGCAAGTGCGCGTAAAATGGAGGAACGAAAAATTGGACTGCGTCAGGCGACACAACACGTGGAATAGCATAAAATTTTTTTAAATAAACAAACGGAATACTGAAACTGAATAGAAACATTCGAAACGTCACAAGCAAATGGGCAAGATGGCACGACAGCAGCAAGGTGACGTTGACGAGTTGTTTGACGTTAAAAACCACTTTTATATTGGAAATTATCAGCAATGTATCAACGAAGCACAAAAAGTCAAGGTAATTATTATTTACTAATTATTGAGATTTATTTTGTGCTGCTGGTATTGATTTATTGATGGTATTGTTTTGGAAAATTACACTGCAGAGGTCCATGTGTGCCGCATGCTGCTTATTTTTTTTCTGATTAATTTTTTATTATTTTATGTAACATAAGTCAGTATTTTTATTTTTAAGTGTCATTACTAATTGGTGAGGAGTAATTGTTTTTTTGGCTTGCTTTTAGATGAGTGTTAGTTGAATTAAGTTGAGAATTTCTACTGAGTTATAAGTTCTAGGCTACGTTTCATTATCAGCTAATGATATTGATGATAGCAGACACTTGACAGTTTTTCTTTTTATTAATTAAAAGTTTACTTTGTTGAAGAAATTTTAAAAAACTAAGCGCACATATAATTTTTTTACTAATTATTTTTTTAAAATGAAAAATGACAAATTTTCAACAACAAGTTGAATATTTTTTACTAATGACATTTGATGTTTTTCTTAGTTTTTTTTAGTAAAAAAAATTACAACAAACTATTTATAAAAATGTAATGAAAATAATAAATTTAAATGTAATAAGGGTCAGGTGAAAAAACCATCAATAAATTTTAACGCAATTATTCGTTATACGAAGTTTCGTCGGTTTTATTCCGACATCCCCAGGTATCTAGTTTGACAGACAAATAATACAATCATTTAAAAAATGATTTAAAACAAAAAAAAAATTAATTTTTTATTGCTTGTAATTTTATTTAATTTATTTGTTATTAGTTGCTGATGTTTACTTATCAGTAATAGCATGGATTTTATATTAATTTATTTATAATTAATATTATAAAAATAAATAGAGCTGAAATTTTAAATAATTATTAAATATTTAAATTGATAATAAAAAACTTCAGGTCTTGAGATATAATATGTAATAAGGGTCAGGTGAAAAGACCATCAATAAATTTTAACATAATTATTCGTTATACGACGTTTCGTCGGTTTTATTCCAACATCCTCAGGCATCTAGTTTGACAGACAAATAATACAATCATTTAAAAAATGATTTAAAACAAAAAAAAAATTAATTTTTTATTGCTTGTAATTTTATTTAATTTATTTGTTATTAGTTGCTGATGTTTACTTATCAGTAATAGCATGGATTTTATATTAATTTATTTATAATTAATTTTTTTTTGTTTTAAATGATTTTTTAAATGATTGTATTATTTGTCTGTCAAACTAGATGCCTGAGGATGTTGGAATAAAACCGACGAAACGTCGTATAACGAATAATTATGTTAAAATTTATTGATGGTCTTTTCACCTGACCCTTATTACATATTATATCTCAAGACCTGAAGTTTTTTATTATCAATTTAAATATTTAATAATTATTTAAAATTTCAGCTCTATTTATTTTTATAATATTTTTTTAGTCTATGTAATAGTAGAAAAAAAAATTTTTATTTTAATTTCGATGAAATATAAAAAATTTCGGTGTACTTACATAAAATTTTTTTTAAACATTGAAATTGTTACGAAATAAAAAAAAATGAAGTTATCAGACATCTAATTAATTTTTGGATTTTTATAACAATTTATTTAATATGAAAAAAATATAATAAGTAATTTCACATGTAGAAATTAAAAAAATTTAAAGGTACAAATTTCTTTTTAATATTTTTTTTTATTAAAGTTAATTTCTTGAAAAATTTCCAAAAATTGTCAGATTTTTTGAAGACTTAATCATTTAAAATTAAAAGTTTTTATTCGAATTTAAATTATTTCACTTAGTGAAAAAATTCAATAAAATAATTTAAAATAAAATATTCATATTTCAGCCAACGACAGTAGATGTTGCATTGGAGCGAGATGTTTTTCTCTACCGCGCTTACATAGCGCAGCGAAAATTCCGCGTAGTGTTGGATGAAATTAATGAATCTTCACCAGCAGAATTAAAACCATTTAAAATACTGGCCGAGTACTTTGCGTCTCCTAACAGACGTGAAACAATACTAGCTGAGCTGGACCGCGCTACTGGCTACTCTATTATTGATAACAATAATTTGATGATAGTAGCAGCTACTATTTACTACCATGAGAAGAATCTAGAGTCCGCATTACGAGTGTTGCAGAACGCTAATAATCTTGAATGCATGGCTCTGACACTGCAGATTTACTTGAAAATGGACCGTCTGGATCTGGCAAAAAAAGAGCTAAAAGCCATGCAAGATAAGGACGATGATGCTACCTTGACACAGTTGGCACAGGCTTGGATAAATATTAATAGTGGTGGTGATAAGTTGCAAGAAGCCTACTATATCTTCCAAGTAAATATATATTATTATTATTATTTCAATTCATTTAATTTACGTAGTATAGATAAATTTAATAAAATTTTTTTTTTACTGATAAGTTAGATTAATCAAATTGGTTTTAATTTATTCAGTGGAAAATGGAAATCATCTATATTATTGAGAGAATAAGAAAAATTTTGTGTATTCGAAAATTCTTTATCTCTAGATACATAATTAAGAAATTACCTTTTATCTTGAGAAATATTTACATTTTTAAAGATATAAGCTCATCCCGATGTTACACTCATCGAGACCTTTCATTTGAGTACCCACATCAACTTTTTCATATATTTATACATATTACATATATCTATATATGACTATATATAACTATATATGAAAAATATATCAAAAATGCATGTGGGTACTCAAATGAAAGCTCTTGACGAGTGTATCATCGTGATGCGCTTATATCTTTAAAAACGTCAATAGTTAAAAAAGTACAGTGCAATTTAACAAAGTCATTATTTGATGAAGCAAAATTTTATTTATTTATAGTTCACAAGCCACGGTAATCACATAGTGACTGCAAGGTTGCTAGTAAT